AAGTTTATGTTGAATTTTTGTCTCTCTTTTCAAGATAATCCCTCTTCGCATTCCCCACATTTTAATCTAATTAACGTAAGGAAAAAAAACGAAAAGAAAAACAATAACATTGTATTTTGCTTTCTGAATCTTTTTGGGTACTGATTGCAGAGCTCAATACTTCATGAAGAAGCAGTGTTTCTTCAACATTGTCACCAATTAGCTCTGTTAAAGGGATGAAATTATAAATATTCAATATTAGCAGAATTTTTCTAAGGGAAAGATAGCTCATAAATTCTTCCTGAAACTATGGTCATTTCAAAAGAATTTTATTTGCAAGTTTACCGTTTGGCATGGTATTGAACTTTTAAAGTATAGACCTGTATATTCTTTATTAGTTAAGCCAGCCATGAATATATACTGATAAAATCCCAAAACATCCAGTATGAACCTAATAGAAGAAAAATCATGGCATTAAACTGTCTTTATTGTATTTTTATTCAGTGTTCCTGAGTACCAGTATTTGTTGAGAAAATTCTGAGGTTATACCTAAGGAGAACAATATAATGTTTTGATAAGTAAGAGATACTGAAATGAAATAAGTAGAAATTAAGTATTTTAAACTGATAATGTTAATAAATCAAAACCAAAAAGATAGCCAAGCCTGCAAGAAATTTATAGGTATAGATTTATTTCTATTTTAAACACAATCTGATTCTACTGATTGATAGATAGGATAATCCTTTTAAAAAGCTGCTAGAGAAATAATTATATTAGTTCTATACCAGCTAAATGAAGTGAAAAACAAATAGTTATCAATTTGAATCAAACCACCCTATCTTTCTTCTCCAAAAATAAAAACAAAAGCAAAATAAGCATGCACACAAAAAAAAACATATTAAGACCTCCATCATCAAACATTCCAGATGACAGATATTTTAGAGGCTTCAGTTCTTGTTGCTGTTTTAATAGGAAAATAAATGACTCTTAAAATAAAAATAAATGCTTTGTTTCTTGTAAAAGCATGCCTGTGAAGCCGAGAAGAAAGCTAGTGGCTAATTTCAATAAACATACAAATATTTCATATGCATTTTCATTTGCTTTCTTGCAATAAATTCAGGCGAAAGAATATGAAGTTGGCATAAAAGCCTGATGGGAAACTAGATTTCCATTTTTAGGTTACTTTATTCATTTTTTTCTCTTGGTAATTATTTGAAAATTCACTTTTGCAGTTTACACTGAAAATCTATTAAGAGAATATGGACTGTTAGCATCCTCTTGCAGTGCTATATCTTCTCTTTGCTATCCAACCATGGTTTCTCTAACTCTCTTACACTCTTCCGAACAAAAAGAGGTAGGACTAAACTTGAGGGTATTTTTTTGTCTCTTATAAAACTGAAATTTTTAAGTATAGAAATTTTCTGAGTATACATAATAGGTCATTGGAAATTCAGTTTGGATGTTTATGATTCCCATCTTTGGGACATCTTCTGAAACACTCACTACCTGGACTTTAAGGCCCAAATTATCTCTGTCTGCCATTCTAATAATTCCAGTAACTTACATAATGAGGACATAGGCCTTTCTCTCCTAATCTCGTTATTTTCTAGGCCATAGAAGTCTGCCACTCTGACATAAGTGAGTCATAGCTTCGTATACAGTTTGATCTTGCTCTGGCTTCAAACAGTGAGCAGCATGTCAAATATCTTGGAGGCACAAGTTCTTGTTTCTCTGGAAGGCTGGGGTACAAAACAAGTCATGCCTCAAGTCTCTTCTTATGAATCCCTGCTTTTTAACTACCTCCATTTCCCACAAACAAATTAG